GTGATCCTGCTGGAGCTGGTAAGGGGGCTCAATGCCATCAGCATCCTGGGGTTAAGGCTACACAAGGGTGTGAGGAGCAGAAGGAGGCTTTGCATTAGGCAACAGCTGTGGCCTGGCATGTTCTTGTGGGTAAGTGGAGCTCCTGTGTCTTAAGAGCTGGGGCTGACTGGCTGACTGAGATCAGCATGGCCAGGAACTGATGATGGGCACTGATGCTCCCCACGAGACAAGTTGAGCTTTTCCAGGAACTCCAGTCTCTGGGGTCTGAGATGTCCAAAGAAAGTCCTCCTTCCAAATACTCACCCACAGGGACCTCCAAGGAGCTATGATACATCTTCCAACTTCACAGCCTAGGGCATACTAGACTCCACTGGGCTCCACCTGATCCTCAGGCCTGCCGCCCTCTCCAGTAGTCATAGCTTGTGGCAAGAACTCAGAGGCCACATACTTGAGTGTTGGCCCTCCACAGAGCTGGCCTTCCATCTACACCAGGGCCAGACCCAGAGACAGCAGAACAGGCACCCAGGACACTGAGGGATAGGTCCCATACTATGTGGGCAGCACCTGCCACGGCCACAGTTCCACTCCAGAGTACAGATAGGTCAGAGTACAGGAGTTCCATAGCCTTCTGGAACTCTGATTCCGTGGCTCAGCACCAGGATATGTGGTGCCTGAAGGAAGAGGTTTGGCTGCCTTTGTACTGCATACACAAGCACAGGCATACTCTAACATATGTACACACTTAGGGAGGTACACACCTGCATGCACATACATACATGAGCACACAGACAAACATGCCCACACATGCCTCTGCAACTCCTCTGGGAAGTCAGGGACTACAATGACATTCCTGTCCCTGCAACCAAAGCCTTGTAGCCAGGAGACAGGGCAGACAGACAAAAAGAACACAACAAAAGTCTGTCACCTCAAAGGACCAAGACTTTTTTTTTAAGTCATGAAATAACACACTTGTACACACAATAAAAGGGAACACATAAAACGATCCATTTTACACTGCCATTGATCTTTCATATGGGCTGTGAGACGCTTCGGGAGGCACTGCCTCTTTCTGTTGGTGACAAGGACAGCAATGTGTGTCCTGCCTGGCTCTTCCTCTACTCTAACTAGCACCTTCTCCCAGGGCCGTGTGCTGCAGGTCTGCATCTCCAGAACCTCGGATTCATGGATCCACTGTACAGCCTGGACTTCTCCCATGTGATTCTAGGTGTATCACACCAGGAGCATGTGGGAAGGATTCTGAGGAAGGGACATGGGCCTCTCAGACCCCGAGGAGCCCCATCACACGTCTCCGGAAAGTATCTCTTGCTGCTGGGCCTGTGGACTCCGGAGTGCTGGGACAGGTGAAAATATCTCGCCAGGCTGCTAGCCATCAGGTCTTCCTGCATGGTCAAGGCCAGCTAACCAGTCATGATTCCACTGTTCTAGGAAAGTGAGTGCAAAGGCCTCCAAGTGACTCCTCCCTTGTCCAGTGGGTTTTTCGTGAGACAGAGAGGAAGGTACTCTAGGCTGAGATTATGAGACACTCATTATCAGACAGGCCTAACTCTGATAGAGTGATCTGAAGCCATTGTACAGGATCCAAGGACTTATTGGCTATCCCAGCACTCCTCAGCCACAGGATCTCCAAGCTCTGTCTATCTGGCTGGGCCTTGCTCTGCTTCTATGATTAAATGAGGCTCACCGTGATGGGAGGAATAGGCTAGGGACTTCCTAGCCACATTCTTCCCTGAGGCCAGCAGGGCACCATTCTAAACTTGTCCAGGCAGTGGGTCTAAGCTGCAGGACTCATAGGGCTCTTCACTGTGTCAGAAAGAGCTTGGAACTCTGTAAGAAACACTCTACAGCCCTAGAAGAGCTGCAGACAGTTCCACCCTCTAATCAATCAGGTGACGGGGGCTGCAAAGTATGTACCCTTAGTGGGGCAGAGCCCAAGTGATGTCAAGGACTCAATAAAATTGTTCTGTGGCAAGTGACTCACGACTCACAAGAAGATCCCAGGCCTGGTGCCTGCTTCTGCAGCCATCAGTTTACAAAGAAATAGGGTCTCCAGGTTAGGCCTTGAAGGACCATACAGCTCCTATATATAGCACAGCTGGCCAAGTCTGTCCCTGTTTATCTGATCCCCAACTGATACCAACTAGTGAGACCCATATTGCTGGCTTAAGAGATCCTCTTGGTCCAACCCAATGGAAACCAGGAATGTTAAGTATGCAGGATTGTTTTTTCAATGGAAAATATGTAAAAAACCTATTTTTCCATCTGGAAGGCTTGGAATTGGAGGTGGTTAATAGCCTGATAATCTTCAATATCTGTTGGGTCAGGTCATATCAATCTTCTATTACCAGGACAAGAGGTGGCTAGCAATCTAAATGACCATTATATAGCCTGTATAGCCATAGGCTCCCCCAAGCTACCACAACCAGGACCAGAGGTGACTAATAGCCTAAATGACCTCTTTGTTATATGTATGACTGAAATCAGTCTAGATCCTTCTTTAGACCCCTAAGCTAGCACAGGTAGCCTATATCTAGAATTCATCTTCTTGGAAGAAATGATAGGTACCCTGAGTTGAGTTTTGATGTAATTATGCTTCTTTGTGCACCAGGGATTCTATTACACCAGGAAACCACCCCTCCAAAATTATACTGCATTTAAATTAGTAGGCAATAAACTGTCTGGCATCAGACTGCCTGAGATTTGATCCAGGTTGATGAAGGCATTTGAACCAAGTTTTCATTCTTATCTCTTTGAGGATCACTGCTGGCCTTGACACCTGCAAGGACCTCCTCACATAAAGAATCCCATCCAAGTGCCATAGGCAGTTGGAAGTTCACAGTGTAGTTGCTAAAATCAATGAGGCTTTCTGTTGTGACTTGGGAGGGTTGTGCCTGGGTCACATTCCCCCTAAAATATTTCATCTGGAGGAAGCTGCACTGCTTCCACTATAATACGGCACCCCAAGTGTGAGAATACCAAGTTTACAGGTGTGTAAGACTGAGTTGTATGTGGGTAGAGACAGGTGTAGGTTCCTGAGCCTGACTACTCTCATGAAGGGGTGGCCAACCACAGGGGCTGCTTGCAGCCTGAGATTTTACCTGCGCTGACCATTTTGCTTACGCAGATGGGGTCTGTGCCAAGGTTAGGTGTGAGGACCTGGACTGCTTGCTAGGAGAAGCATGAGAAGCTCTTGAGTGAACATAGCTCTTCAACAAGCCTGGACCAAAATAACTTTCTTTCTTTAAAAAAGATTTATTTACTACATATACAGTGTTCTGCCTACGTGCCAGAAGAGGGCACCAGACTGAGTTGCAGATGGTTGTGAGCCACCATGTGGTTGCTGGGAATTGAACTCAGGACCCCTGGAAGTGCAATCAGGTGCTCTTAACCTCTGAGCCATCTCTCCAGCCCCAAAATAACTTTCAATTTTGTCCCATAAGCTTTTCCTTTAATTTATGAATTCTATAATGAAGGACAATAGGAACTGTTTTTTTCTCGATGGTGAAAGGAGTTACAAATATGGGAAAGGAGGCTGTAATAAGTCAGAGGCTCTGCATTGAGTTGGAGGTGTCATTATGAACCCATGAAGATCTGAGGGAGGCTTTTTGTGTGCATGTGTTTGTGTGTGTAACCCTGAGGTGAAGTTGGGTATCATCCTCAATTGCCCTCCACATGCATACATAATACATACATGCACACAATTAATTTTCAAGATAGGCTCTCACTGAACATGGAGCTCATCAGACTGGATGGCCAGCAAGCGCCAGGGACCCTCTTGTCTCTGTCTCAAATGCTGCTGAGTCCGTCATTCCCCCCCATGAGGATTGGGGATCAAAGTTAGGATCTCATGCTTGTGTGACAGTCACTCTAACTAACTGAGCTGTCTCCCCAGGCCCATGGAGATTTTTACATGTGCATGTGCCTGTGTATGCACAGAAGCAAGGACACACAGAGATACAAGGTGTGTGTTTCTTCACTGAGCTCCTGGAAGCAATAGACCCAATGCCAAGATCTCCCAGCATCCAAATCTTTGAGAACTTGCAATGTCATGGATATAGCTACATCTCTCATCCAAGTTTCTGGGTTCCACATTGGAATAGAAGGGCTCTTCTACAATCCCTGGTCCTGATGTGGGTGCAACCACTAAAGGCTAAGAATCCTTTATGCTTTATGCAGACAGCATTGGACCTTTTGCTTAGAGAGCTTCTCCGGCCTCTGAGCATCCCAAGATCTGTCATGACCCTCATGCCCCAGTGATTCCAGGTCTGAGCTCATCTCTCATTAGGTGAGGTGTCAAAGCCCAAGGCAGAAGTCATCAGAAAAGACATGCTAGGGTGAGTGACAGAGTTAGAGTCATGCAGAACCAAGGGCTAGTTGTGGTGGGGAGAAGAGGGGACAAGGGATCCAGGACAATCCAGGACAGCTCCCCTGGGACCTTTAGACAATCCACCTCCTGTCTAACCCTTAAAGGTAAATGGCAATACTAGGGAAGGGATGAGGGCGGGGCTGGGTGGGGTGGTGGTGGTGAGGGGTAGCTCCAATTCACTGGAGGACAAGCACACAGTCCCTACAAGGTCTCATCCCCAATTCAGGTCAGTATTCACTCCCTTCTTAAGTCATCCTTGCTGTGGGTGACTTATCTAGGGAAAGAACTCATTGTGAGTGCTGCTAAAATCCAGGAGCCCCTCCCAGAGGAGCAGGACAATCCTAAGGCATGGAGAGGATCCAGAAACAGACCCAGCACCAGGTAGGCGATAGCTAGGTGCTGCAGAATGTAGACCTTGGGGCAGTCAGGGCCACCCCAATTCCTCTGAGTGGCTTATTCCATTGTGACCAGTGGCCCCTAGGCTGGGCTGGAGTGGGTAAGGGCAAGGCCTATTCCTCTTCCTCAGAAGCAGGCATCCTCAGGTGCCCTCCTAGGTTCAGGGGCTAATGAAAATGCTCATACAAGGCTGCGATGGAAAGAGAAACCAAGAACCAGGTAGATGTGAATCTTTACTTACAGAAAAGCAACGGAGCCAGAGGCCCACCAGGGGCAGGGGCTTCAGTGGGGCGCTTTGGGGCAGGAGCACAATTACTGGGTGGAGAAGCCTCGGGAAGTGCGCAGGTCAAAGTAGCTGGTGGGGGATGCTGTGAAGACAGAAGGACAGGGTGAAAAGGACAGAGGGCTGGTGTGCTGGACAGGAAGACAAGCCCTGGGCACAGACTGAAGGTAGACCCAAGAGAAGGTGCACATCCGGCTAGGTTTCTGGGTCTGGTGGGAAGTGAGGGATGTGGGGAAATGCGGGGGGGTGAGAGGGAGGGGAAGAGTGGGAGAGATGGGCATGGTAGGGCAGGGCAGACCAAGCCTGTGACACTGCTATAGTCAGTGCCTGTTCAGGAAGGACGCACTTACCCCAGTCACTGGGGGGGAGGGGCGCAGGACGACAGTCACTGGGGGGCCTGGGACGGCACGCCCTCCGCCTTCTGCGGGTCTTCTTTCTCTCTCATTGCCAAAGGACTCCCTGATGGTTCTGTGCCCGCTGCCGAGGCCTCTGCCGCTGCAGTGGACACCACCACCGCCGCAGGGGTGGGGCCCTTATGCTGCTCCTTGGAGGCCCGGTAGCTGTTCCCCCAGACGGCGGGCATCTCGGTGACATGCTTGCGGTTCAGCGGGTAGGCCCCGATGGCTGCCAGGATGCTGCGGTGGCGCTCGGGGTCCATCTCCGTGTAGTACATCTCCAAGGTCAGCGGGGTGCAGATCTTGTGCTGCAGCAGAGGTATATTGCGGACCAGCAGGGGGATCCGGGATCATAGTGAAAGAAGAGGAGGAGAAAGGGTTATAATTGAAAACCCACAAAGGCAGCTTTGGCTTCGGGTCAGAGGGTCAGAGGGTCAGAGCCCGAGGCTCCTTGGAAAAGGGGGCGGTGTGGAGTGGGGCCTCTGCCCGTGAGGAGTCTCTTAGAACCATGCTGTGTGGGAAAGGCAGAAAGCACAGACTGCTGTGGGGACCATGCTTACAATCCCGGCACTGGCAAGGCTGAGGCCGGAGGACTGATGTGAGTTGGAGGCTAGTATGGGCTGGGCTACATAGTGAACAGCTGAAGCTAAAAATATCTCCTCCCACGCCGGAAAAAGGCAGCCAGATTTCAGTGCCTCTGTGAACTCCATCCCAGAGACCAGAGGATTAAGGGAAGAAGAGGAAACATTACTTCTAAAATATGAAGCACTTTGGAAAATATTAAAAATTATAGCCGCCATTAATGGAGTTGAAAGTTTCAAAGTAGAAGGAAATATTTGCTAAATATGCAGAAAGCATAAACACCCATAATACATTTAAAAGCTGTACATGCGTCAGTGGTGGTGATACACGACTTTAATCCCAACACTTGGGAGGCAAGAGGCACTGGCCAGTCAGGGCTACACAGTGAGACCCTGCCTCAGGAAAAAAACCAAAACCCAAAAAACAACCAACCAACCAACCAAACAAACAAACAAAAAAACCCAAAAGAAACAAACCTCTTAAAGTCTAGGAAAACAACTAAAGAGCTCAGTAGAGAAACCTGCCAAACTCAAGTGGGGTGGGTCTCCTCCCAAGACGCTGGAGAGCACAGGGGTCCTTTCGCTCTGCTGGCACCTCCTACTTCAGTTTAGACGAAACAAGCAAACAAACAAAAGGCTTCTCTTTTTGGCCCCCGTTTTAAAATTCCATTTTCTGTAATTGTGCTTGAGTTGGCCAGAGGAGGTCTCCTTGAGACAGGGTCTCTCACTGAACCTGGAGCAAACCTTAGCAACTGTCCTGTCTCTGTCACCCCACAGTGCTGGGGTTACAGGAAGTCACACTTGGCCTTTTACATGGGTTCTGGGAATTTGAACCCAGGTCCTTATGCTTATATACCATGTGCTTTTCCCCGCTGAGCCGTTTCTGTAGCCCTAAAACAACATTTTCTTGAGAATTTTCAAAAGATGGGATCTAGGTATGTTCTAGGAAGTGAGGGGATCCAGGGACAGCCTTGGGGTGGGAGATGGAAGCATCTGTCCCTGACGCTGCTACAGAAAGCCCTGCACATCTTGGCATTGACTAGAGAACTTAGGAGAACCGTGTTAGTGTCTACTGCCCGTGCCCTGGTCCTTGGTCCCTCAAGCTTACCCGAAGCAGGAAGCCATCTGGGCAGGAGAACTGGTCATACCAAATGGCCTTGTACATGATCAGCACACAGCCCATGAGTGCCATGGCAAAGGCGATCATCCTTGCAGTGGGCAGCTGGCAGAGGGAAAGAAGCAGAACTTAGTGCAGGTGGGCTATGGCGGGGCCAGTCTCCCTGAGGGGATGGCCCCTAAGACCTAGGCTGGACACAATACCACTGCCCCTACATCTGTCACCTGCCATGAGGTCAGCTCCAGGACCAAAGGTCTAGGAACCATTTTTTTATGGGCCCAGCTTTGCTGGAATTCTAGAAACATCCATGATCAGGTAAACTGCTTTGACTAGTTAAGTTGCATGCAGCCAAGTGACCCAGAAGGTACTATTAGGAGCTGGCTTTCCCTGCCCATGTGGCCTACAGAAGTTGGTAGTCATCACAACAGGAGTACTGGATGCAGGAAGCATTGTGTGTGTGTGACATCTAGTGAGACAGGTACATCAGTACCCCCCTGAGTGGATCCAAACAAAGAGCAGCAAGGCCTCAGCACCTTTAATAGGCTCTTCCATTGAAGAAACTATGGGAAAGGGCAGGTGTTGCTTCTGAAAATGGAAAAGCATTAGAAATAGTTAAAAGTGATAATTAAAACCATCACCGATGTGGTTAGAAGAAGACAAAGAGGAGACATTTACCAGAAAAAGGCAAAGCTCTTACTGTTTCACAGAAAGCCTGCAAGGAGGTCGACAAGGATGGGCTGGGAAGCAGGAGCTTCCTGTGGGACGTGCCTCCCAGGAGCTCAGGCTGCCTGGGTAAGGATGGACAGCTACAGGCCAGCTAGCACTAGAGGTGACATCTGAGGAGGATTGAGCCCTCTTGTCCCTGAGTCCCAAGTGGGACTCAACCAGGCAAGGAAGACCTGAAATGTTCATCTAGCCTCGCCCCTGCTCCAACTTCCCCCAGTAAGGGGCGATATACTTACTCTGCGTTCTTCCTCTGGGTGGCCGCAGGCCAGCCTTTGACCCTCCAAATCTGAAAACTTCTTTGACTGGTCTGAGGAGGTAAGCTGATATTCTGTTTGTGTTTTGATGACCACCTAAAGGAAGAGATAGATGGTGATGGCATTGCTGGACAGCTGGCAGGGACCCAGGAGAAGCCTGAACTGAGGGGATTGGGAGCTGGGTAGCAGTGCTACCATCTGTCTGTACTGTTTGGTGGCCAGGAGAGCCGCAGCGTCTCAAAGCTGAAGCCAAAGGAAGGTGGACACTGAGAGTCTGATGGGGACCACAGCTGCTCAAGGCTTAGCCGGGCCATGGATGGAGTTTCTCATTCTACAGCTGCCATCCATTCAGGGTGCTGACTCCCTGACATGAACTACTACTCCATAATCTGGCTCCTCCCCTTTAGGAGGTCTGACCTGACTTATCTGACAGCTCCTAGAGTCTTGAGCCTCCAACTACGTGGGGCTCAGATGTGGGCAATTCTAGGCTGCTTGTATTCTTGAGGGGCGAAGGATAGCTGTACCCTCAGCACTCACTGTTACAGTAAATGCAGTTGGTCACTGGAGGGCTGCCCTGGGCTCCTGAAGGGTCAGGCTAGACCAGTCTTGTGCTACTCTCTGCTTCTCACTGACTTATGCTGAAAGTCACCTCTCCCTCCTCAGTCACCGGCCTAGGAAGCCCTATTTTGAGCCCTAACCTAGAGCCCTGCCTAGAAAAGAAAGAATGGTGTCCTAGTTAGGGTTACTATTGCTGTGATGAAACACCATGACCAAAACAAGACAAGGAGGAGTTTATTTGGATCACACTTCCACATCATTGTCCATCACTGAAGGAAGTCAGGACAGGAACTCAAACAGGGCTGGAACCTGGAGGCAGGAACTGGTGCAGAGGTCATGGAGGAGTGATGCTTACTGATTTGTTCCTCATGGTTCATTCATCATGCGTTCTTACAGAACCCAGGACCACCAGTGCAGGGATGGCACCACCCACAATGGGCTCGGCCTACCCCATCAATCACTAATTAAGACAATGCTCTGTAGGCTTGTCTACAGACAGATCTTATGGAGGCCTTTTCTCAATTGAGGTTTCTTCTCTCTGATGACTATAACTGGTGTCAAGTTGACATAAAACTAGCCAGCACAAGTGGTCACTGCAACTAACTGGTCAACTTATATCCCAGTCTGAGTGCTTAAATTCTGAGGAACCCTGTTTCAGATGGGGTGGGGACTCTGGATATGAGAGAGATAACCAGGAGGCCACATTTGCCTGTGGTTAGTTTGGATTTCTACCCAGCCTTGTCTATCCTCAGCACACTTTGGAGGAGGCAGCATCTGCATAAACTTACCTACACCTCTTTGTCCCTAGGCAAACTGAGAAAGTCTCCCACACTGTCTCAGGCTACTCACCTGGTCAGAGAATGATGGCTGAAGCTGACTGACATCCAAGGGGCTGATCAGAGGAACACTGTCCATGACAGTCCCCTCCTGGCCTCCTGTTTCCTTGCCTGGCTTCCCAGAGAAGCTGCAACCCAGCTTCACCATGGTGGATAGTTGTCCTTGTCCCAGCCTAGAAACAGAGTTAGAATCACCACTTACAAGTCATCCTATGGACAGCCATGTAGCTAGAGTAAGGACACAGAACTCCTCATACAAAACCAAGGGATGTGCTGTAGAAAGTCCAGCTCAAAGTTTCACACCTCTTCCTGACCTCTCAGCACTGAGGAATGGTGCCTTTGACCAGAGAATATCTAAAAATGGAACTGCGGTCTCTTCCTCGGGCCAGCCTGCTCTGGTATGTGCTTTAAGGACACATACTCCACTGGGAGGAAAAGATTCAGGGAGCAGTTGGTAGAGTTGGACTGCCAGACTCAGCAGGAGGCCCGGATCAAAGTGAATTTGTTAACTGTTGATACCTTAAAACAAACAAAACACACCAAAAACCGTTTATCTCATGCAATATGGGATAAGTCCATTAATTGCCATTGGTTATCTATGTGACAAAATACACAGTATGGTGGTGCAGGAAGACCAGGCCTTTGGAGAGCTGAGAATCCATCCTGCCAGTCATACAGTCATTGCAGTCTGGAGGAAGGTACAGATCCCACTGACTCCAGGTAACTCAAGAATGAACATGTTAAAGGCTGGAGAGATGTGTCAGCAGTTAAGAGTGCTTGCTGCAGCCGGGCATTGGTGGCGCACGCCTTTAATCCCAGCACTCGGGAGGCAGAGGCAGGCAGATCTCTGTGAGTTCGAGGCCAGCCTGGTCTACAGAGTGAGTTTCAGGACAGCCTCCAGAAATCCTGTCTTGAAAAAACAAACAAACAAACAAAAAACAACAACAAAAAAGAGTGCTTGTTGCTCTTGTGGAGGACCTAGGTTGTTTCTAGCATCTATACAAAATGCCTTTACACCTCCTGTAACACTGATTACAGGGGTCTGCTGCCCTCTTCTGGCCTCCACAGATTTCTGCATGCATGTGGTGTACATACATATACAGGCATATAAAATGTAAACATAATAAGTAAATACTTCTTAAAAAGGAGTGTACACACTCCTTTGTTGCTCTCAGAGGGGAAAGGACCTCTAAGCTGACAGATGGGAAGCAAGACATACCATAATTACTAAAACTCTCTTGCAGCTGTGTGTGGTGCTTGCTTTTAATCCTGGCTCTTGGGAGGCAGAGGCAGGGATATCTCCGACTTTGAGGCCAACCTGCTCTGTACATTGAGTTCCAGGCCAGCTAGTGATGCACAGTGAGACTCTGTCTCAAAAAGTAAAATCAAATACAAAACAAAACAACCTCCCCATTTCACATAGAACTTCAATCCCAGACAAAACCATGCCAATATAACCACTTTTTAAAATATACAATGCTCTGTATGCCTGCAGGCCAGAAAAGGGCATCAGATCCCATTGCAGATGGTTTTGAGCCACCATGTGGTTGCTGGGAATTGAACTCAGGACCTCTGGAAGAGCAGCCAGTGCTCTTAACCACTGAGTCATTTTTCCAGACCCCCCAATATAACCACTTTTAAAATGAAATACTGCCAATGTGCTGCAAAATTTCTAGAAAAAGAACAAAGGAATCCTCATTAATTCCCTAGGTCATCCCTTCTGCTCCCCCCACAGCTCTCAAACACATTTGGAGAGAGACATTCACAAGTCAGTCCCACCCACAGACAGTAGAGACAGATTTAAGTGAAGCTTGAGCAAGCTGAGTTTAGCAAAATATAAAAGATCACAAAGGTTGTGTGTATTCTGGGTGTGAAATTTAGAAAGCAATTCCGTGAGTTGGGAGATGACTCAGTTGCTAAAGTGTTTGCTATGCAAGCATGAGGACCTGGTTCAGATCCCCAGCACCCACATAGAAACTGGGTCAGTGGCTTGTATCTGTAACCACAGAGCTGGGAGGAAATGGGCAGAGACATAAGAAATTTGGTGGCTCAACAGCCAGCTTGTCAACATAGCTGAAATAGAAAGCTTGAGATTAAGTGAGAGATCCTGTCACAGAAAATAAGGTGGAGAAACACAGAGGAAAATACCCAAAGTGACCCATATACACACAGGTGAGTGTACCTGAGCACATACACACCACACACACACACCACAAACACACACATATATACCACACACACATACACCACACATACACACATATACATATATACACCACACACACACCACACATACATCACATACACTACACACACATACACACATATACCACACACATACACACACATCACATACACACATACCACACACACACCACACACATACACACATATACCACACACACCACACATACATCACATACACTACACATATATACACACCACACACTACACACACACACACACACACACACACACACACACACACCACACACACACACACACACAGTGCAGCTGGAGAGATGGTTCAGCAGTTAAGAGCACTTGTAGTTCTTGTAGAAGACCTGGGTGTAGTTCCCAGCACCAACATGATGCCTCAAAATGGTCTACAAAGCCAGTTCTGGGGATCTGACACCTCTTCTGATTTCTTCAGGCACCAGACACACAAATGGTGCACATACATACATGTAGACAAACCATACAATCTGACACACAAAATAAAATAAATCTGAATTAAACAAAATAAGGAAGGATTGAAGTGATGGCTCAGCAGTTACAAGTACTTGTTGCTTTTATAGAGGTCCTGAATTCAGTTCCTAGCACCCACATAATGACTCATAACCATCCATAATTCCAGTTTGAGAGGATCTGATGTCCCTTTCTGACCTTCATAAGCATGAGGCACACATATGGTACTCAGACATACATGCAGGCAAACTGCATTTACAAATAAAATAAAAGATTTTAGAAATAAGACAAGCTACCTGGGAGTGGTGGCAAATGTCTTTAATTATAGTACCTGGGAGGCAGAGGCAGGTGGATCTCTGAGTTTGAGGGCAGCCCGTTCTATAGAGTGAGTTCTAGGACAGCTAGGATTACAAAGAGAAATCCTGTCTCAAACAAACAAATAAACAAATAAGCAAATAAATAAATAAACTTAAAAATAAAGCCAGACAGTGGTGATGCATGCCTTTAATCCCAGCACTTGGGAGACAGAGGCAGGTGGAACTCTATGAGTTGGAGGCCAATCTGGTCTACAGAGTGAGTTCTAGCACAGCCAAAGCCACACAGAGAAACCCTGTTGAAGGTGTTAAACTCTCCCACTTTTTACAACTGAATTTAAGTTTCAGTTCTCTTAGAATGACACACAGGCATCTTTTTCAACAAAGGGCTGTTTATCCACTGTACCCTTAAATTCAGGGTCAAAGGAGAAACTAGACAGAGGGCCTAAGTCAGCCTCACAGTATCTCAAGGATAAACCCAGCAGACCCCTTCTGAGTCACACTCAAGTTCCTGCAGATGCATCTAAAACTGATAAAACTAAACTTCAGCCAATTAGAAATGTACTAACGTAACTGCTGCTTGCTTAACCAATTAGGTTTGAGATGACCTAATTGTCCTTGAAACTCATTTGTGTTTTGTTTTGTCTTCTGAGACAGGGTCTCATATAGCTCAGGCTGGCCTTGAATTCCTGATCCTCCAGCCCCAGATTCTTGAGTCTGGGATTACAAATGCTCAACATCACACATGGCTTGAATTTGGATCTTCTGTTCTGGAGACCATGAAGATGTAGATGGCCTTGACTGCTATGGTGGGTTGCATAAGAATGACCTGCATTGGCTCATATATCTGGATGCTTGGTCATTAGGGAATGTTGATATTTAAAAGGATTAGAAGGATTAGGAGGTGTGGCTTTGTTGGAGAAAGTGTGTCAGGTCCTGTGTCTCTTTTTCTGCCTGTGGATCTGGATATAGCCCTCAGCTACTTCTTCAATACCATGCCTGCCATGCTTGCCACCACGCTCCCCTTCATGACGAGAATAGACTAAACTTCTAAAACTATGATAAGCAAACCTTCAATTGAACGCTTTCCTTTATAAGAGTTGCCTTGGTCATGGTGTCTCTTCACAGCACTAGAAGAGTGACTAACACAGCTGATGAAGTTCTAGAAGCTGTGGTCCTGAGTGTTCAGCCAAAACAGTTTCACCAGGCAAAGGCACCAAGCCAGAGGCTCATAAAGTAATACAGATTATTCATGGATTTAATAGTTTTTTATCTAAATGCAAAAACAAATTCTCCACATACAAAGTATAAAAGTTGAAGGAGTCCAGGGTCAGTGCAATGGCTCAGTGGGTAAGAGCACTTGCTGCGAAGCCTGAAAACCTGAGTTCAATCCCAACGACTCACATGGTGGAAGGAGAAAATTGCCTCATGAAGTTGAGCTCCGACCTGCACATGTGTACTAGACATGAGGGTACTCGGTCACACCCAATAAATAGTGCAATAAAAAAATGGAAGGGGCCGGGCATTGGTGACACATGCCTTTAATCCCAGCACTCGGGAGGCAGAGGCAGGTGGATCTCTGTGAGTTCGAGGCCAGCCTGGTCTACAGAGCGAGTTCCAGGACAGCCTCCAAAGCCATAGAGAAACCCTGTCTCGAAAAACCAAAAAAAAAAAAAAAAAAAAAAAAAAGGACAGGTTCAGTGGTTAAGAGCCCTGGCTATTCTTCCACGGGACCTCTGTTCAGTTCCTAGCATTCACAGAGCAGCTCACAGCTACCTGTAACTCCAGTCTCAGGGGATCCAATGGCCTCTTCTGAACTCCAAGGACACCAGAAATACATGTGCTGTACACACAAATATACATGCAAAACACTCATACACACAAAAACTTTAAAATGAAAAAGTCCAGTTAAATTTGAATTCTCAGAAAGCAGATACATTTCTATATGTCAGTGGCAAAAATATTTTTAAGAAAAAATGTGTTAATTTTTTAATATTTTTAATTATGTGTGTCTATGTGTGTAATTTATTTTACTATGTTTTGCCTGTGTGTATGTCTTTGTCCCCTTGCAGAGGTCAGAAGAAGGTGATACTTTCCCCAGGAACTGAAGTTTTTATGTCTGTTCATGCAGTTGTCCTCAGAAGCCCAAGGTCTCAGATCCTCTGTAGCTT